CTGGTACTGTTTGCACACTTGCACAGTGATAACTAATTGGTACAGCTAAGGCATGCGTGAACCTTCCCAAACTGATCAGACTTGAAAACAGTTATCCATGTCTTGTCCAATTCATCTTAATTACTGTAGTACACTTACATAGCTGAACTGTCCCAAAATTGCAATTCAAGCAAACAGGTCATGTCTGGTATAAACTATAGAAATCACTTGTTGCCTGAACTGATATATCTGCAATTCCTACAGACACAATTAAAATGTAACTATTAAATCTTTAAAGTCCTAAATGACTTGTCTACCTAAAAGAAAGGCTTTCAAAATTCATGAATTATAGTGACTAATTTTATTTCAGTCATTTGAATTGTGCTCCAAGCAGATAGCAAAAGATACTCTTATTACAGGATACTGGAGATCCTGTGGTATTCCCAGTACTCTCTGAGCTTGGTTATTGCTAACAGATATCTCATTACCTAACTAGATACTGTAACATCTTAGTGGTGTTGAGTGTGGAGTTTGGTCCCTGTTTACATACAGTGGCTTGCCCTGTCAGTATTGTTGGGGGTGTGGTTTTCTCCTTAGTAGTCCCTTGATTATTATTGTCTGCATGATTGTTTGTCTGTTGTTAATCCCTGCTTATCTGGGTGTTGGCTGCTGTAAAGGATGTGCTTGGGTGTTTCTGTTTAACTTTTGTATTGTATCATCTCTTTTGAATGATATGTAAATATGATTTTTCTCTATGTCACTATGGATAACTGGTTTGTCTGAATCTCTACTTTCCAGGATTTCCTTATAGTTGAGTCTGTCCAAGTGTGGTGAAATTAACTTCCGACTGCTAGCTGATGTTCATGGATGCGCTCTGATACTCTTCCACCCATCTGTCCTACTGAAGGACTGTTACAGTAATTACACTGTATATTAAAGATGACATTTATTTTTCTTGGCCTATTTTTTTTTTTTGTTTATTTAAGATGTTTTGGAGGCTTTTAGTTAGTGTGCTACAGTGATGTGGTTATAATATCTGTTGATTGTTTCTGAGAAGTTTAGGAAGTTTATCTGTTGGTTGTTGAGTGATCAGGCACTTTTTGATAAAATCGTGTGTGTATCCATTTTGTTGGAAGATGTTGTACAGGCAATCTTTTTCCTTTTTCTAGTGTTCTGGTTTGCTGCAATATATTTGTGCTCATTTGAATAATATTCTCTTGTGGGAAGTTTAGCTGTTAATTTGGCTAACAGAAGAAATTAGAAGAAGATATAGATGATAACTATGTAGCTTGAGAACTCTGGGATCAGAGTTGTTTTACTGGCTTCTTGTTTTGAAGATCTCTTACAGCCCATACAAAATATAATGAATCTATTTTACGGGGGTAGGTGGGTGGGGAGAGATGTTGGACAGTTGGAAAGAGGCTAATATTACATTAATACTAAAGAAGTACAGAATTTGATTTTAGCAAGAAATTACCAACCAATATCATTACTGAATATATATATATATATAAATGGATGTGTGGGTGTGGGTGTTCCAGCATGACCCTGAAACACCTCAAGCAATTTCAACCAAACATGGTAAACAGATGACTTACCCTCTGGAAACAAATACTGTGGGAGTAGGACACCCCTAATACCCTTCAGGGTATGTGTGTATGCCTTAAAATGGCTTTTACTGTACAGCACAGCGGAGTTTCCATGGTAATGGCTTCACAGTACTCCACAAGGGGGCTCCCTCTAGTAAGGGGGATTGGTTCTTACAAAAAACAAGGCAGTTCCCTTTGGTAAGGGGACCTCAGCTTCAACCAAAGAGAGCAAGTTGTTGGGGGAGGTGCCTGCTAATGCAGACAATCACCTTAAAGGCTGTTCCCTGTAGAATTTTTCCAAGGCTGTTGGTCACAGCAATTAGATTTCTAATTCTCACCACAGTGGTTGAGGTAACTGGCCCAAGCCCAAGATACCTTCAAGGAAACATCAGATGATTGGCCAAGTGCAATCAAAGGCTACAAAAATGAAACACCAGCATAGATGAGAAACTCCCAAGGAGAGGAGTAGAAAACTTGCAACACTGCACAAGAGAAGAACTTCAGAGACAGTACAACAGTGTGAGGCCCGACTAAAAGATAAGAGAAATAGAGCTACTACATTTAGAGCTTCAGAGACAGTACAACAGCATGAGTACCGGATAAGAGAGATAAAGCTGTTACATTTACAGCTTCCTTTATAATTTGTATACTCTACTTATACTTTTAAAACCCTGTAAATAAAGTTACTTTGATTTGACACTGTAGATATATTCTTCCTTGGCGTTTCATTTTTGTGATTTCATTTTTTGCAATGCCATGCCCAATGCCCTCAGTGGATACATGATCACCTTAGCTGGGGAGATCACTTACACGGGCTCCAATGGTAATGAAGATGGCCTGATCGCCATTGTCAAAATGAACCACCAAGCCCTGGTTGAAGAACTCCCTGTCCTCACCAAAACCTCACAAAATTGAAAAACCTCACGTGAGAGAATGAAAGAGAATGGAAAGGTAGGAGGCTTCTGTGAGGACCAAAATTTCCCCACTGCACCATTCGGAGAAGATGATTGGAGCACAGGAAGGATGGGCTTCAGAGTCGAGCTTTTTCTTTCTTAAATTTTGAGATGGTTCTTGAGAAATCGAGAGATGGCTTTTTTGTCGGAAATGAAATCTCTGTATTTCTTTGTAATGTCGGTAAGGACTTGGATCCGACTGATCTATTCTTTTTTTTTTTTTTTGCATACTATATGATTTCCTCCCGATGGACAGTCTTAACTGAAGCAATGATTAGAAGAAACCCGAATTTTATGTTTACTTCAAAATGCAAACCAACAGCATGTGGAAGACGGTTACTCTCCCTCTCTCTCTCTGTGGGTTTTAATTATTTTTATGAGAACATTGCTTTGTTCCCTCATGTATCTTGCAAAAAATGGTGTGCCCCTGTGCAGTTCCAACTACTGAATATTATTGCTGTGATAAACTCTTGTGTGGCCCAGAATTTTTTCCCCCGAGCTTCTGATGTAAGACACGCCTTTGATCTTTTGTCCAGCTCTTTAAGCAAAGGATCATATGTTTGTGTGTGTGTCTGTGTCTGTGTCTGTGTATAATAATACATGAGTGGAATAAATAAATACATGGGCAACACTGAGTTATCAGCTAGTAATGATTAAAAGTTGTTAAAAGGGTTTAAAATAATTTCGCAAGAACTTGATGAAGGTCAATCTGAATTTTATCTAAAAGATAATTAAGGGATAGTAGTAGAATTTTCTTGGACATTTTGAAATATTTGAAGCAACATGATGAAAAATAAGTGGCACAAATTTTCTTACATGCAACCAAGGCCTTTGATGATTTGAACTGAACTATCTTGTTTAAAGTTTTAGAAGATATGAAATTTGGAGATAATTTTTATGAAATGGGTGAGATCAATTGTATCTCATAGAAAGCAAAAGTAATTAATAGAGAACTAACAGAATTTTGTGAGATACTGAAAGGAACACAAGGATATTTTCTCTCTCCTTAGCTGTTTATTTTAGTTCTTGAAATATTAAATAAAAAGGCAGGATAGGAGAATTGTAGGAGTAGAGATCAAAAGGGAAATTTAAAGTTTGAGGCTCTTGTTGACGATGTGTGTTGGTTTTGGAAGATATATTAAAGGGAATATAAATTTTAACAGGAATATTAAAAGAATTTGGTATGCCATAAGGTTTTAAGATTAATAATATAAAATATGTAATATTACTGAAGCTCTGAAAATTAAGACCTAGCAAAATCTCACAGAACTTCATGAAATCTCATGCATTTGTGTCATTGATGCAGAGAGATATGTTTGAGATCTAAGAATTCTTGCTAAAAGGAACTTTCCCAACTGCAGCTTATATTTAGAACAACAATAAAAGCTTAATTTGTGTTCATGATACTTTTCAGCTGGCATGAGTTTAAATCCAGAGTTTAAACAAGGAAGGAGTGGGGAACACATTTGGTGCTTTCATCATACAAGATGGGTGAGTTTGTGGGTTGAATAAGGAAACATGTTCTTGAAAAGAATTAAGAATCTCCATCCCTGCTGACATTTGATTTCTTTTTAGCACCAGGACCAGCAAAACAATCAATACCTTACAAGCTAAAAAGGTTTGTATCAATATTAACCTCCATGGCATCCTTTTCTGGGGCTTTTGACATTTGTTCTAAGTATACTGAAATGAACTTTTCTGACAAGTACCAAACAAATATTGTCCCATGTTACAATTAAACATTAGCTAGGTTCCTTTTGTGTCATTTTAAAGGTACAATTGAGATGTAAAGGTCCTTTTAAATATATAATTGAGATGTACTATGTGTGGGTGCAATAAGTCCTTTGCTAGTGCTACTATGCTGGTAGCATTGGGTCTGGTTCTGAACATTTGATTCAAGTTCAAGGCAAATGCTGTACTTAAGCAAAAAATAGCAAAGAATTGCAGTTGTCACAATTTTATCGAATTTATCACTTAAAATAAATTCATTTGTTAAACTCCCAATTGATTGAATTCTTGTATTAGACCATAACCACCACCACCCTCTGTTTTCATATATTGCAATGAGTTTAGGTACTGAAGATTACCAGATAGAAAAGTATTCTTCTGGCTAACATGTCAGATTTCTACAAGTACATTTCTAGGTCAAGATGATACAACCAGAGGAAGCTGTGAAGCATTCTGGCGTTTGATAATGATACTATTGATATTCCTTCATAAGTAAATTGAGGAAAGGAACAAAGTAAACAAGCAAACAAATAAAACAAAGACAATAAAGTAAATCTCTCATTTTTGAATGGAACAAAGATTTCATTTTTTGATGGGACAAAAAAATCTCGGAGCAAGGGAAGTGGAGTGGAATATCTAAATGAATGTACGGCTAAATGGTGAAGAGGTGTACTCACACAGTTACGTGGGTCTGCACAATTCACTTGTCAGAATAAGGTAAGTCAGAAGAAACCTCAATTTGGTAGAGTCGTTTTATTTGGAACACACAGAGAACAATTATAAGTATTGCCCATGGTCATTTCTATACAAATTAATATTAATTAAATTCTGCAACAGTTTCTTGATAGAAGTAACAGTGGTTGTTAGTTAATCTGTCAAGTTATAAATATTTTAATTTGAACATTACTTTTTAATCTGGAAAAATATGATACTCAATAAGGAATGTTTTTCACAAATACTACAATACAATACCAAATAAATGATTTAGGACTCAGTTTCAGCCATTGGCCTGAAAATTTCTTGTTAATTACCACTCTAAACTAATAGGAAATTTATTAAAAGAGTAAACCCCTACAGAGTTCAGTGGGACATAATAACAATTAGAATTAGATAATTAAAGCTGAGGTTTAGTGAAATAGTGCACTAAATAGTTTTTGTAATTCTACCTCTCAGAGCAAGATCTTCCAAACTAATTTTTGCAAACCAAAATGAATTTGTTTGCAAACTTTCAAATGAATTATACACCTAATCCTAAACAGTTTGAAATTTATATCCAACCATTATGATTTAGAATATTAAAATGTATTCAAGAAAATGGAATAGAATAATATAGTAGTATATCTAAAATTTCAGTTGATTTTTCTCATGTTTTAGAAGGGTGCAATGCAGCTTGGATTTCCACCATAGTTAGGTCTAATTCTGATGTATATCTTCTTGTCATGCTTTGTTTGGAACATCGTTGTATACTTTTCTTCTGACCAAGAATTACATTAAAAAAAACATGGCTTCCATAGCTACACAAAGATGCCAATAATATAATATCAAATTAGAGGGTGGAACAAATTTTTCAGCACATTCCTGAGAGGCTACAAGTGAAATGGGTGTCCTAGGTCTTGTAAGGCACAATTTTTCCCTTTAAAATATCAAAACCAAAGTACAACCATTTTGAAACTGTAGTGTTGTGAAAGGGATGCTGGGGTAGAGATACTTTCAAGTGATTAAAGCAAACCATTTAGTGCAACATGAATCTATCTGGGAAGTCAATGGTTACAAGGTCCACTCACTTGAAAATACAGGAGTAAATCTTGAATATATTTCACAGTACTTAATTTAAAATAAATAGGTATAGGATTGAGCTACGCTTTTGCTTATCTTAATGGGCTCTGGTTATAACTGAAGCCACTTCATGCAGAAGTAAGGAAAGAAACTTGAATCACACCTATTTCCTACACAATATCTTCCTCAACCTGTAGATTTTTGACATCTGTTAGATACACTGAATCTTATGCTTCTCCCACTCCCACTTTGAAAAAAAACTAGATGCAATAATGGGCAAAGGACAACACCACACACACACACACACACACACACACCCTGCCATCATAACTCCACTATTGTTATTTCCAGGAAAATTTCAAAGCAAATGTAATGGTTACTGATTTTCAGATAAGTACTGTAAGGTAGGTAGGTCTTGGTCTTCTATAGATTACCTTTCACCCAACATATATAACTTAATATAAAAAGAACATATGAATATCCATATGGGCTATAGAATGTAATGCAGCTACTTGTTTTGTAAAAAAAATTCATAAGAAAAGGAAATATTGCACATTAGAATTAACTCAACTATGGGACTATGCAAGAAAAATAAATTCATACATGAATAGGAGCTGTGGAGGTACACCTCAGTCAATCCTACATCTTTAGAAGGAGTGTGTCTGGAAGAAGTCCTAACTGCTTGCATCCCATAAATTAGTAAACGTTGAATATACAATAAACAGACACTTTTTATATAAAGACACTTGAATATACAAGTTGAAGTGATGAATGGAAGGCAAAAGGTAGAAGTTAATTGAGTCTGAAGTGAATACTGAACCCCATTCAACATAAATTTAATCCCGATTCACAACATAATGGCATTTAAAAGAATCAAGCAAACTGTTTTGTAACATTGCCAAAGATATGAATAATTATCTTTTTTATATGACATGAACTGCAGAAAGTTTTCAAATAATATAGTTTAGCATATTTTCAATAACAGAGATTTGAAAATTACAGTGTTTGTGCATTTGTATACATATGTATATCTACAGGTATCCTCGACTTATTATCACAATTGGGACCAGAATTTTTGTTGCTAAGGCAGTTCTTAAGTGAATCGTGCCCAATTTTACTATTTTTCTGTAATATTTGTTAAGCAAATCACTACAATTGTTAACTGAATCATGCAGTCATTAAGTGAATCTGGTTTCCCCTATTGACTTTACTTGTTAGACGCCAGTTGGGATGGTCACAAACAGTGATCCCATGGTGCCAGAATGCATGTTGGTTGCCAAACGCCTAAATTTTGATCATGTGACTATGGGGATGCTTCGTAAGTGCGAGGACCAGTCATAAGTCACTTTTTTTCTGTGCCATTTTAACTTTCATTACTAAATGAATGGCTGTCAGTCAAGGGCTATCTGTATATATTTATAATATTAATAAGTTATTATAAAACTATAATGTAACTGCTATTTGTCTATATTTCCAGTAGGAACAAGATAGTTAACAGAACTCAAAAATATTCCCATGAAGGTATTCAGCACAATACCAAATGATTCAACCACTTTTTTTTTTTAAATAACAAAAAATATTTAGGGAAAATCTCTTTATGATGTCCAGAGGTTGGGGGGTGGGGGGAACCAAAGAAGAGAATTGTCCCAGTCATTAAAAATAACAATAGGGTAGCTGATGTTTGCAAAAAGTGAAACATCAAGTCAGAATGTAAAAGAAAAAAAAAATAAACATAGAAATAATGCTTTCGTTGTCCATTTTAGAAAGTGGCCTTTTACTGATGGCCTTTCTCACTGTATTGCTACATTAGTCCAAGGTAAATAGCATTCATATGCTGTAATCTGGGATTACTAGTTTTGTAGGCCTCATCTATAATACATTAAGCATTGTTCTCACTTGTTAAAGAGTTATCAGATTCTTATTTATATTATGGCACTGTAAAATTTATTTACTTCATTCTCTTACATTTATATTTAGGAAAACAACTGATTTTTAAAATCTGCACCTTATGCAACAGTGATGTATGATATACTGAAAATTTGATAAAACATTGCTTATATGCAACTCTAGAACTTTGACTGGAATAGCAATTTTGTTAAACTTTGTTTTATGATTTAATAAAAGACAGCAGAAGAAATCTGTTGTACTGCTAGCTCTAATGCAATGCATTTTCCACAAATATCATAGACATTCAAAGATTAGACTTTGCAGCACAAAATATCCACATTGTCATTGCATTGAATTGGCAGTGAATCAGTATATAAAAACAAAAGACAATATTCCCCATAGAATTCTATGGACTGATAATGCATACAAAGGAGAACTTCTGTCCATCTTTCCCAAGTCTGGTTAATTAGTCTGTATCTACACAATCGATTAACAGTTGAATTTGCTATATTATCTGAAAAAAGGGAATATAATTTTACTGTATATTCCTTTCTGTTTATAAGATTTGGCTCTATGATTTGCCTGATTTATTTCTATGAAAAAAAATCAGGGAAATGTATCCCATTAGAACTAGATTCAATTTTAAAAAGTGTCACATTTTCTATGTGATTTTTAAAGGGTGCAAATATTACATTTGCCTCAGTTAAAATAATTGTTTTCAACTATGTGGACAAAGCAATGTGTCTCCTATAGCAGTCTCTGAGTCTTGGCTGTGAGTAGAACTGATCCCAGTGTCAGAGTCTGTATCATTTAGATCTAAATTTGTCATTTTTTGAAGAAGGTCTGGTCCTGGAAAGTTTTTTGTACAGGTTCCAGTTTCATTGTCCTTCATTTCCTCTTCACTAGTTGGATATCTGAATACATTTTTATCTTTAGCATGCAAACCACTAAGTTCTTCTACAAGTAGTTCATATTCTTTTTCCTTCCTTTGAAGCATCAAGTCACAATATTTTAGTTCTTGTTCTATGCAATTCAACTGAGAATGAATCCTTAGAGCATCTTTCATACTTCTCTCCAGCTCATTCGTAACACTTTCTAGATCAGTGTTTTCCACTTCACCTTTAGATGCTTCTTCTCTCTGTATGTTTCCATTTTTTTCACTTTCCTTAACCTCTTGTTCAATTTCAGCAGAGAGCTTTTCAATCATTAACTTGTGGTGCCTTAGTCCTTCTTCCACTTGTAAAATCCCATCATATTTGTTTGAACTTTCCTGCTGATGGTTGTAAGGCATTTCCATTAGCTGTTCAGAGCTGCTACAAGAAGACATTAAATAAGACTCTTGGACATAATTTTCTCCATCACTTTCAAGCTGATTTAGATGGAATTTGGCTTCACACTCTTCAATTTCCATATCTAGTTCCTTCATTCTATTAATCTGTTGGTGAATAGTATGGTCTTGAGAAAGGATGAGATGGATTAGTGTTTCTATATTGTCCCTCTCCTGCAGAACTCCTTCCTGTTTAATTTTTGCCAGTTTCTTAAAGGTTTTTCTAAGAATTCTCTTTTGCTTGTCCAGTGACAACATCTTCATATAATTTGCTGGACTCAGATCCATGTGCATTTCTAGGTTTGGAACTATCTTGGCTTCAGATGTCCTCCACAAAGGCAACGGAAGGAAAGCATCTGCCTTGACCAAGACAAAGTACAAATTAGGTTGCTCTTCCCCCCAGGCTTTCCAGAGTCTGAGCATTTTTGTGAGAGGTGGAAGAACCCGCTCAGAACCTCTCCATTTTTCTATAATGCAATAATCTTTACATTCCCCAAAGAGAAATCTCTTCTCTGCCAATGTTGTCTGATGTTCTTCCAGCAAAGCTTCAACTACTTCCATGCAAGTTGTGTGTTTAGTCAGTCCACTGACAATCTTCTCTTCCTGGCAAACCCAGACTATGATTTCTTGTTCACTGGAGCCCATTTCTTTCACAGACGATCTGTAGTTAAAGAAATAAAATATTTTATAAGCCAAATTGTAGCTTTGGGTAAATTCTAGATTATAATAAAATATCATCATCATGCATTGGAACTATCATGTGAATATTTATACACATTCACACACATGTTTGAGAAGTGTTTCACAAACACAAGAAGTGTTTGTGTTTGCTCCTTTGCCTTTCTTCTTCCTTTAAAAAAATATTTTTGTTCTGTTTTGTTCAATTATAAAATATGCCCCCTGAAAACCCCCCAAACAATGGAATCTTAAAATAACTTGGAAGATTATGTAGAAAAGGTAGCCAAGAATCTCAGGAGAAATTAATTTTATGTGTGTGTGTGTGTGTGTGTGTGTGTGTGTGTGTGTATGTGTGTGCGCGCACACACACATGTACACACACATACCAATGGTGGGATTCAAATTTCTTTACTACCGGTTCTGTGGGCGTGGCTAGGTGGTCATGTGACTGGATGGGCATGGCCAATTTAGCAGTCCATTTTGCCAATTTAGCAGTCCATTAAACAATACACAGCAGTCCCCTTTTTTATTCTTTTTCATACTGCATGAAGTTTTTGCACCAAAATAACCAAGATTATATAAGGTCTCCTGCTGGAGCAGGGGGTTGGACTAGATGATCTCCAAGGTCCCTTCCAGCCCTGGATTGCTGTCCTGTTTCAAAGCATCCTCTGAAGCTGCGTCTAATGCCAGGACTTATGGTCCTTCCTTCCTCTCATTTTTCTCTCCCTCCCTCCCTCTCCCCATATCTCATTCACTTATCCTTCCCTTCCCTTCCCCTTCCCCTTCCCTTTCTTTCTTTCTTTCTTTCTTTCTTTCTTTCTTTCTTTCTTTCTTTCTTTCTTTCTTTCTTTCTTTCTTTCTTTCTTTCTTTCTTTCTTTCTTTCTTTCTTTCTTTCTTTCTTTCTTTCCTTCCTTCCTTCCTTCCTTCCTTCCTTCCTTCCTTCCTTCCTTCCTTCCTTCCTTCTTTCTTTCTCTCTCTCTTTCTTTCCTTCCTTCCTTCCTTCCTCCCTCCCTCCCTCCCTCCCTCCCTCCCTTGAAGGCTTACCCTCTTCCTTGAAGGCCCCCCCTGCACCCCGTTTTGAGCCTAGTAAGCCTCCCTGCAGCCTCCTGGGAGCAAAAATGGGCCATGGAGGGCCGCGCCGCACCCTCCCACCCTGTGCCCAATTTTGGGCCTATTAAGCCTCCCTGCAGCTCCCTGGGAACAAAAACGGGGCATGTGGGGACTCCTGGAAGGGGAGGGGTGGGGCGGGGCATGCCAGAGGTGGTGTTTGCCAGTTCTACGAACCAGTCAAAATTTCCGTTATAGGTATGCCAGAACCAGTCCGAACCAGCTGAACACCATCTCTGACATACACACACACACACACACACACATAGAGTTACAAAAACTATGAATGCTCAATCTTTAATCATACACCTTATATGCATTACAGTAATTCTCATGGAACTTAATGGGATATGTTTTTGCATATACTTGTACAGGACTGTATTGCAAATTTAATTTAGTTTCACTAAAGCTTACAAAGACTGGATGTTACCCTATACCAATTACATAGAATATAACACAGAGGCAGCTTAAGGAATTGATTATAATTATTGGAGTTGGCCTGAATAAACCTAGGTTCAAGGTTCAATTTACTGGGTGACTTTCCCCTCCTTCCCCCCAACCCACCTCACAGTGTTTTGTGGAAGAAAATGAGGTGCTGGAAGAGCACCAACCTGTAATATTCAATCAGCATTGAGCTGATTGAAAAAATACAAGATATAAATGAAATGAAATCAATCAATGAATGTATTTATGAATCAGTACATCAATGAAGCAAGCAAGCAAACAATTCTGTGCTGTTTTCCATCGGTTGAAGTATAAATACTTTACATAAATTAATCAGAATGAGAAAATGCAATAAATCTATACTTTTGAGTTGCATTTCATTTGTTATTTTTTGCACTATGATTTCCCTAAATTGCGTGTTTTCTTCTATGCACATGCTATCTTTTTGTTTGCTTGTTTTGAAATAGGCTTCCTTTTTTCCATTTACATACCTGTGTGGACTCCTTTATAGAAACACTGAACTATATAGAAAATATGTTTGCTGAAATGTACAGAAATGAAGGGCATTCATAAGACATTATGTACAAACAGATATTAAACATGGTTGTTTGACAGATGTCTACTTAGAGATGAAAAACAAAACAGGGAAGTCAGGAAAAGCAAGGATATGCATTTGTGGGAAACCAGTAATCATATAGTAAAAAGCAAACTCATTAAGGTGACATTGCATAGAAACCACCTAAGATCATTAGGAAGGCTTATTTCAGCTACCTACTTCCCCTTCTGCATGCTACATTAATTAAACAAGAATATGGGATCAAACAGTCTGCTTGAATTGGTTGCAGTATTTGAGCCATATGTCGTGTTAAAATTGGCTCTTGCACAGGCACTTCTGTCTAGGTTTTACCCAGTAACTGCATTTGCCAAAGATACCTTGCCATCAGTAGCAATTTTTCACTGAATAAATAAAATATATGTGAGAGGTGAGCATTCACAGATCTATAAAGAAGGCACCCCAGTGAGAACTGAACATCTTCAGAGTATATACTGATATGCTGGCTCCTGGAGGAAAAAAATAGAAAACTGAGGGGGGTTGGAATGGAATACAGTTTCTTGAAAAATAGCATGATCAAACACATCTAATGTTCAAAAGGAATGTCCCAGACTGCAAATATGAAGAGAGACTTCCCAGCCTACAATGAATGTTTGAATCTTAATTAAATCACTGGCATGGGATCTCTTTTCAGTCAAAGCATATGTGTAAAAAGAAGGTTGTGTGAAGCTTGTGGTGCAGGAGTATGGTTTTGCTTTCTTTTTGTCCTTTCTCCACCAGCATGGAAAGCAACATTTAAAGATTATAATATACATCATCTTGAGGGACTGCCTTCTCCCATTGCATTTGCCTGGACAAATCAATCTTACAAGATTGGCATGTTCCAGGTTCTTTGATTAAGCAATGTCATCTATGAGACTTCGAAAGTGTGCTTCCTCTGTAGCAGTGCCTGCCTTCTGGACTGAGGTTCTCCCAGTGATCCAGATGTCCTCCACTCTGCTGGTATTCAGAAGAGCTATGAAGAGACTGCTTTTCACTGATGTGGGAAGTGAGACTTCACACTTCATTCCATTTGATCTGCTGCACTTGCCATCTTTTATCAACTTTATTGTAGTATTTTGTTTGATTATTGTGAGCCATCCATAGTGGTTAGAAGGCAGGTGGTGGACAGATTATTATTATTATTATTATTCTCTGTTCACAACAATGTGAAGTTATAACTCTCAGTTCTTTATCTGGTGTTGCTTTTGTGTGCATCAGATTCTTCCTAATAGCCTAGGATATTGTAATGTAACAGTATTAGTTTATGTGTGGCTCCAAGCAATGGGCTCTTTTGCAACTGACAGATGGAAAGTTTGTCAAAGGCATATTTTCTAAGTGCTGTCCAAGAGTTTTTGGTATAGAATCCAGCATGTTGATAACCATTAGCACCACTATAGCCAGTTTATGCCATTATCTCTCACCTTTGATTTATAAATCTTCCCCAATACTCTGTCTTCTATTCTACTATCTCCTAGTATTGACATATCAATTATCCACACTATCTTGTTTTTAACCACTGTTGCATCAGGTATGTAAGCCAAGACTTGATAGCAGTGTCCCAATATCTAAGGAACTGCCACAAAGAAGAGGGAGTCAACTTATTCTCCAAAGCACCTGAAGGCAGGACAAGAAGCAAAGGATGGAAACTAATCAAGGAGAGAACCAACCTAATAAATTTCCTAACAGAACAATAAACCAGTAGAACTACTTGTCTCCAGAAGTTGTGGGTGCTGAAAAATGGGAAGAGATTGGACAACAATTTGTCTGAAATGGTATAAGGTTTCCTACTTGAGCAAGGGATTGGACTAGAACAGCAGTTGCCAACTGGTGGGCCATGGCCCACCGGTGGGCTGCAAGAAAATTTTGGTGGTCCACAGAGAAATGTGTCCCCCCCCCCCAGAGCACCCCCCAAAGCAATTAATCCAGGCTGTGCAGGAACACAAGGCTGCACCGCCCACATGGCCCATGGGAACCTTCCCCACCCACTCACTGTTTACCTGGCAAACTTGCCTGCTAAGTTGCTATTTTTCCTTCCCCCCCTCCCCACAAACCATCAGCTATTCTGCTGTGCCGGGAGATTTAGATTAGCTAGAAAGCAGGAAATTGTTGGATTTCTTGCTTTGTAGCTAATCTTTAGACCTTCAGCTCTTCTTTTAAGCAGAGTCGAGTCTTCCTTAGGACTGAAACTTCTATTATTCAGTGCAGATTCACGGCAAGCCAATTTTAGGTGACAGACTCAGGTAGCTGATGGCAGATAGATAGATCTCTGAAAGATTCTGTGAGCAACTCAATCTGCCTGCCTGCTTTGCCTGATTTTGGGTAAAAGTTGCTCTTTTTTAATAATAATAATAAAATCAATATTTACATACACGGTGTGTTGTGAGTTAATTTTGTGAGTTTGCTTGCAAGCAAATTTTATGTGACAGACTCAGGTAGCGGATTGCAGATAGATAGTTCTCTGAATGATTCTGTGAGGAACTCAATCTGCCTGCCTACTTTTGGGTAAAAGTTGCTCTTTTTTTATAAAAAATTCAATATTTACATAAATATTTATAATATTTACATACAAGCCATGCCCAGCCAGTCACATGACCACCAAGCCACACCCACAAATTAGACCATGCCCACAGAACCAGTTGTTAAGAAATTTGAATACCACCCCTGCCTTTGTGTGTTTCTCTGTATGTGTCAGAGAGAGAGAGAGGTAGGGGGAGAGAGAGAGAGGTTAGATCAGATCTCTCCCTCTCTCTCTCTCTCTCTCACCAACATCAGCAAGCCACCATCAGTCAAAATTCATATTAATGGCCCCTGGGACTTAAAATTATGAGTTTGGTGG